TCCACCCTGGACCTCTACACCCAAACCCCCCTCCCCCATCCCGTTTTTCAAATATCATAGGCGACTCGGTGTCCTAGCGAAGGAGGAGAGGTTTTCCTCATACAAGTTACCCGCTGACGGTCACTATTTCAATCCAGGAGCCAACTATTCTGCGGCAGAGCATGCGGCCGTGATTCGGGTGTGTGAGTGCGAATGTTGGTGTTCTCTATGGTTGAGTCCTTAGAGCCTTTCATTGAGTTGCAATTTGATGTCACAATGACGTAACCAACCCGTATTGTTTATGGAACAGGTGGTCTTGCTTATTATGTCCGATGTGCTACTGAAAGCACCAATCAAGATGGCTGTCCTGCGATTTTTCGTAAAGTGGTTTCACACATACTTCCGTGCACCAGTCTATCCGGAGAGTCTCTTGCGCCAGTACACCGTGGACACCAAAGAGTAAGTCCTCCCTTCCCTTTGTTACTCACCTCAATTCCCCCTGTTCCCCTCAAAAATTCCCCCTGTTGCCCACCTCACTTCCCAATGTTGCCCACCTCACTTCCCCCCTGTTACCCTACTCCCTTCCCCCTGTTCTTCACCTCACTCCCCATTGTTTCCCAACCCACTTCCTTCTGTACCCCACATCCTATCCCCTTTGTTCCCCACCCCACTTCTGTGTGTAAATCAGGTTGGTGCGCTTGCTCAGGACCAACCTTCCAAGGGCCGGGCATGGCTGGCTTCTTGTCAAGGTGCACAAGCTTGTCCACTTCCCTGATGCAGTCCGACGTGCTGGTGCACCCGGAGAGTACTGCACCGAGCTCTTCGAGAACGCCCACACAACATCCTGCAAACGACCTTTCCGCGCATCGAACTACCGTAACTACGACGATGCCATCATGCGGTCGTCTGAAATGAGATGCGCACTGCTGGATTTGCCGTCAGTTTTCAACAACCTGCCAGGACGTGATACTGCCATAATGAAGGTGTGATACCAAACGCAACCCTCTACATGCAGTGTGTCCGCCATTCCTCTGTCCCCTTCTCCATTTTCCTCTTGGTGCCCATGTATGCATGCGATCTTCGTAGCTAGAGTGCATTTCACACTCACACATCATTGCCATGCATGGATGGTGTTTAGGCCAGCATGGAATGCTGTGCCCGTGTCGTGTCTCATGCATCATCCCATGCGTTGTTGGTGGTAAGGCCAGCATGACATGCCTTGCTCGTGTCGTCTCTCATGCATCATGCCATGCATGGCTGGAGGTAAGGCCAGCAAGACATTCTTTGCCATTTACACCCACATGCATCATTGCATGCATGGCTGCTTGCAAGGCCAGCAATGCCTTGCCATTCATCTCACACACATGCATCAGTGCATGCATTGCTGGTTTTAAGGCCAGCAAGGAATGCCATGCCATTCATTTCACACACATGCATCATGGCATGAATGGCTGGTTGTAAGGCCAGCAAGGAATGCCATGCCATTCATTTCACAGCCATGCATCATTGCATGCATGGCTGGTTGTAAAGCCAGCAAGGAATGCCATGCCATTCGTTTCACAGCCATGCATCATTGCATGCATGGCTGGTTGTAAGGCCAGCAAGGAATGCCATGCCATTCGTTTCACAGCCATGCATCATTGCATGCATAGCTGGTTGTAAGGCCAGCAAGGAATGCCATGCCATTCATTTCACACACATGCATCATTGCATGCATGGCTGGTTGTAAGGCCAGCAAGGAATGCCATGCCATTCATTTCACAGCCATGCATCATTGCATGCATGGCTGGTTGTAAAGCCAGCGTGGAATGCCATGCCATTCGTTTCACAGCCATGCATCATTGCATGCATGGCTGGTTGTAAGGCCAGCAAGGAATGCCATGCCATTCATTTCACAGCCATGCATCATTGCATGCATGGCTGGTTGTAAAGCCAGCAAGGAATGCCATGCCATTCGTTTCACAGCCATGCATCATTGCATGCATGGCTGGTTGTAAGGCCAGCAAGGAATGCCATGCCATTCATTTCACACACATGCATCATTTCATGCATGGCTGGTTGTAAGGCCAGCAAGGAATGCCATGCCATTCGTTTCACAGCCATGCATCATTGCATGCATGGCTGGTTGTAAGGCCAGCAAGGAATGCCATGCCATTCGTTTCACACACATGCATCATTGCATGCATGGCTGGTTGTAAGGCCAGCAAGGAATGCCATGCCATTCGTTTCACAGCCATGCATCATTGCATGCATGGCTGGTTGTAAGGCCAGCAAGGAATGCCATGCCATTCGTTTCACACACATGCATCATTGCATGCATGGCTGGTTGTAAGGCCAGCAAGGAATGCCATGCTATTCGTTTCACAGCCATGCATCATTGCATGCATGGCTGGTTGTAAGGCCAGCAAGGAATGCCATGCCATTCGTTTCACAGCCATGCATCATTGCATACATGGCTGGTTGGAAGGCCAGCAAGGAATGCCATGCCATTCGTTTCACAGCCATGCATCATTGCATGCATGGCTGGTTGTAAGGCCAGCAAGGAATGCCATGCCATTCATTTCACACACATGCATCATTGCATGCATTGCTGGTTGTAAGGCCAGCAAGGAATGCCTTGCCACTTTCACAAACACACATCATGCCATACATGTGCAACTTCCCCTATCCCTTTTTATTTCAACGTCCAGGCTGAAAGGAACAAAAACCCTGTTCTCACGGCGACAAGCACAGCCATGACACTTCCACATGTTGATGGTCGAAAAGCGGAGAAACTCTGGCAAGGGCTGTTGGAGCAACACGGCAGCGCCATGAACGATATCACAATAGCCCTCGCTGAACGTGGCATTCGAAATGACATCGTCCATGTAAGAAAAACACCTCACCTACCATGACCACCATTATGCGCAGTGTTATTCTAAACTCTGTCACTTTTATATTGCCGACGTTGAAGTTTGTATTTCCTGAAGAATGAAACTTTTGCATTCGCCATCCCAAACTTTCTCGTCCTATGCAGGTGCATTCTGCAGTTGCACTCCCAAGGAATGATTTGAACGATGCTCACTATGCAAGGGCAACCGTGGCTTTCCATGGGAATCCATGGTTTTCCTATGTAGCTCTGGACGGGAGTATGGTCAGTAACCGTACTCAAGGGGGGTCAGATGTTGTGTATGCCCAGCTCCTCATGCTTTTCCATGTCCAAACCAGAGCTGGACGGGAGATAGAGAAACAGCCACTCGCGTACGTGAAGCTCCTGGACGTGAGAGGAGAGGACGAAGACACAGCCTTCGTAAAATTGGCCTGCCGTCGTAGGGCTGATGCCTATCGCGTCGTGCACATTGATGCCATCTTGAGGGCTGAGCACATAGTTCCTCTCTTTAAGAGGACCACGCTGAAACTATTGAACCCGTATGCGTGGTGATGAAAATGCTTCACTGGATGGTGCGGTAGCTTCTGATACTCTATACCAGGTACTATAGTGCAGGTTGTATTTGGAAAAGTAGTCGCATTTATTACGACTCACTGTCTATAGCCCTGCCCCCCTTACCCCGGTTGTTTCCACCTTGTTTCCACCATTCCCTAACAATGCATCTAAATATAAGTAGCAGAAATAATTATGTAGTGAATTTAACGTCCGAAAAATCACAACAGACAAGATCAGAGTGTTTAACTGCTTTAGTTACGCATGCAAATCAACCCAATAGAATATGTTGGTGTCAATATAAGCTGTGTACAAAATTCATGCACATAAGAACAAGATATTTCAATAGCAATCATCACTGTACACTAGAACGGAGATGCTCTTGTGCGGGTCACGTATCTGCATTTGTGCCAAACCTTCTCAAAGCCGCTGCTTCTTGGAAGGAGTATTTCGAAAACCTAAACTTACCGAGCAGTAGGTTCGAATCGAATGTCCAATAGAAATCATTCGAAGGGTCTCAAGGGAAGTTTCGTGGATCTGGTGGAAAGCGTTCGACCAATAAAATCGCTCGCGAGGATCTGGTCGAAACTTCGTAGTTGATGCAGCCCACTGATTCCCGAGCCGCGAACCCCGAAATGCTACCTGCGGGTAAGTTCTGGAGAGTTACTCTCTCGCAAACCCTAAAAAAGCTGCCACCCCGACCCCACGCATTTTGGGATGACCGTGATCCGTTGGAGCATAGTAATTCCATGGCTTTTTATATCCGATTCAGGGTCCCAGCGGGTTTAAATCGACGCGAATCAGGCGAGTCTGGAAGCGAAGATCCGTGCGCCAGCAGTGTGAACGTTGCCAGCAGCCATTCCGTGAACAAGCCACCTGACGCGTTATCATCATGCGACCATATGGACATTCACCTCGCCGTTTCTCCAGATGAGTTGCTCGAATCGGTCTTTAACAGGCTCTTTCAGACCTATCTTTCCAACTGCTGCCTGCCGTCCGATCCACTTCGGCAGGGAGCACGAGAGGGGGGGAACGCGGAGGGTTTTGATTTGGAGGTTCGGAAGCAGCAGGTTCGGTTCATGGTGCTAGGCCAGGTGGTGTACCTTCCTCCTGAATCCACTGTGGAGCAAGCGAAGCTGAAATCCGGTTCCACCATTAGAGTGCTTCCGGTGAATATCGCCGCTATGGGGGTGGAGAGGGAAAGGGCAAGGGAGGTGAAGATGGTGTGAGTTCACCTGCTGCTGTGCCTGCTGGAAACGAGCATTCCGCTGTTGCTGTTGCATCTGCTGCTCCCGCTGCTGCTTCAGCAGCTTCCGGTGCTCTTTCTGCTGCCCCTGTCGCTGTTTTTGCTGCTCCCGCTGCTGTTTCTTCTGATCCTGCTGTTGTTTCTGCTGCTCCCGCTGCTGCCCCTGCGGCTCCTGCGGCTGCTCCTATTGCTCCTGCTGCTGCTCCCTCTGCGGTCGCGAGGCCACGTGGGATTGACTACAGTAAGTGGGACCACATGGGATCCAGCAGCGACGAGGACGAGGAGGGGGAGGAGGAGCACAAGGCGGGGAATGCGGCACGGAACAGGGGCACGTCAGGGAGCAGGTCAGGAACAATGGCAAAGCCGTTGAGTCTTGCGGGCACGTGTGGGGCTGGCCTTTCGGAACTCAAGGAGGCGATTTGGCGTGGACATCAGGAGGTGATGAGACGGTTCGGTCTCCCAGAGGACATTGTCGGAGCCTACACTACCTCTGCAGTGGAAGCTAGGGGTTCAGGGAGAGTGGGACGTGACGAGGAAGTACCTGGGAAGCTTCCGGTGCTGTGTCGGGAGGACATGGTTCACTACCTGGACGTGAGGGGCGGGTGGGATCTGAAGGAGTGCGAGTGCTGCTTCGACCGCGCTCTGAGCCTGGGGGAAGGGCGTGCTGTCACCATGCAGAGCCTCTCATTTGTCCGATCACTCCTGCACAAGCGGTTGCCTAACGCCACCCCCTTTGCGCCACGCTCCAATGGAATCAACGAGGGTGTTCTGGAATTCTCCGCGGGCGTTTGGAAAGCAAGGGGAGTTGGCGCCGCCTCGTGCACAGTTCTCCTGCAAGTGTGCTCTCGCGCCGTTCGTCTGTGTGGAAGCGATGCTGCTCGAGTGGATGGCTGAGCCTCGTGTGGGCGTGCTCATGGACCTGGGGAGGATCAGATCCCGCCTGCCTGCCATTCTGACCACTGGAGTTTCTATTGGGGCTTCTCCTGCTGCACCTGCTGCTGCACCTGCTGCTGCTTCCCCTGCGTGGTCCTGCTGCTGGCGCTGCAGCAGCTGCTGGGCTGCCTACCGCCGTGCTGTCAGCTTCGCTGCCTTCCTCGTGCTTGTGGCGAGATGGCCGCGAATCGACACGCTGTGGAAAGCCCACGTGAATATATACGATGCGTTGTACCCAGAGTTAGCAGGGCAGCTGGGGGCGGGCAGACAGGAAGAGCACGGCACTGCTGCTTCTGTGCTGGTGCAGGTGCTGGGGGTGAAGGAGAGTGCTGATCTGCAAGAAGGGTTTGGGTTCTTTGTGCAGCATGTGCTGTCAGGCGGGCTGGAGAAGGCGCATGCAGAGGGGAGGGGGGGACATGGGGGAAAGGCTAAGGCGCAGGGTGGGGGAGGAGGGGGAGCAGGAAAGGTGGGGCTGGGGAACTTGGGGCAGATGGGGCTGATTGGGCAGATGGGGCAGATGTTGCAGACGGGGCAGATGGGGCAGGTGGGGCGCGCAATGGAGGTGGTGGGGCGCGCAATGGAGGTTGTGCGGCGGAGGGTGGAGAGCGGGGAGTGCATGGGGCCAGAGGACTGTGGGCGAATCATGGCAGAGCTGGGTATGGACCTGGGGGACCTGCTAGGCCGTCGGGCTGATGGTGCAGGTGACCTGGCGAGGGGCGGTGGTGACAGTGGCAAGGATGGAAAGGGTGGGCAGTGGAGGGAGCATCTGAAGGGGCGTGAGTGGGAGAGGTATGTGGATGGCATGGCTTGGATTCTGGAGCATGGAGGGGGGGAAGGGAGTGAGTTCAAGTGCAGCCACTGCAGTGACGGGGGCGGCAGCAACAGCAGTGCAAGCAACGTTGTGGAAGGCAGCGGTATTCCCAAGGGCATGTATGTGAGTGGCGTGGGTGCCACTGACTTCGCCCTGGCAGTCGCCTCTGTGTTCTCCAGGCCGGAACACCGCAAGCTGGGAGCCATGTTCTTCGCAGCGTCTCAGAGTGCAACCAGCAGTAATGTGCAGGATGCAGCCATTGAAGATGCCCGGGGGAAGCTGAAAAAGCGAGGGCTGGGAACAGGTGTGAGCGAGGGAGGGGCAAGAGGAGGAGGACTCGAAACAGCAACATCAGCAGCACCAGCAACATACCCCAAAGCGGCTGCTGCCTCGGCCAAAGCCAGCTCTTTTCATTGCAGCAGCAGTTCTGTCAGAAGCAATGCGCTGCTTGATGCTGGCAGCGGTTCGACTGGCAGTGGGACGTTCAATCGGGGCCTCGTTCCTGTCAACACAAATCCCGCTGTTGGTCTCCTCACATATCGGGTTGCTCGCCTCTTGCAGTGGTTTCGAATCTACGGCTCAGATTTTGTCTCCGCCAAGAGCTGCTTCAAGGACAGCCCACAGGGCAAGGTCCTGCCCATGCGCCACCCACTTCGGGATCTTCCGAGCCTGCTGGTCAGGTTCGGCGCTGTTCTCCCATCACTGGATGGAAGCACCGACCTCCAGGAGTGGGAGGAGTGGCCCGAGGGGGACGAAGCTACTGTCAAGTTTTCAGAGGATGCGAGTGCCAGATGTTTTGGGATGGGCAGGGCTGCCAAGGAAGTGCCGTCGCCTCGAAGCGAGACCCGTCCGATCATCCGTTGCCGGGCAGATGCAGACTTGGTGGTGGACTTCGCCGGTCTGTTCCTGGACGCACCAGCATGCGCCCACTGCAGCTGCTGCATCCACTCGTACATCTCCCATGTCTCCTTCGTCACTTTCATTGCCAACTTCGCCTATTCCCCAGCCTCCATCCTCCTGGACTGCTTTCTCTTCGTCTTCCCACCTCATTCTGAGGTGTTTCAAAGCCTTCTCGCCCGCTTGCGCTTGGAGAATCCATGTGATAGCCTTTCTGCCAAGCGGAGCAGCAGCAGCAGAAGTGTGCAAGCGTTACGGGAGCGGGCAGAGCAGGTGCCAGTTGCCTTTCTGCTCAGCGTGGCGCTGCTCTGCGCCACGCCTCTCCTGCAACAGATTGGGATGGAAGGCGGGTGGAACCCGAGGGCTGGTGGGGGAAGCTCTGGGGCGAATCAGAAGGCAGGCGGACGGAGGGCAGGGAGTGGGGCACGTGGAAAGGGCATGGAGGGCGGAGAGGGTGATGGAGGTTGTGGGGTTGTATGGGAGGAAGTTCAGTCCTGGTCTATGGTGGCAACGCTGCCGGCCACGTCAGCCAGTATGGGGGGAGGTGGGGTCGCCTGCAGTGCGAGCGAGGCAAAGGAACGTAGCGCGAGTGCACGCATGGAAGCACTGGCGGAGATGTATGAGCGCTCTCTGCTGCCCAGATTCCGTGAAGACTTGAAGCACGAGAGTGGGACTTTCAGTGCCTGTGGCGACAACAGCAGCAGCCATGGGAAGCAGAAGGGCAAGCAGTGTGGGGAGCAGAAAGGCATGGCATGGGGGAGTCAACCTTGTGGCATGTCTGCGAGAGATGCTGCTGGGGGAGCCGTGCTACCGCCCTGCCTCGCCTGCCTCTCCAACCGCTGGTGCTGCACACAACAATGCTTGTGGGAGGCGTGTGTGTTGTAGTGCTGTTGGGTGTGGGAAGGTGGAGGGTGGTGGTGTGAAGTTGAGGAACTGCTCTGGGTGTGGCAAGGTGGCGTATTGCAGCAGAGAGTGCCAAAAGGCGCACTGGCCCTCCCACAAGCTCACATGCCCTGGCAGGAGGAACAGCAAGAAGAGTGGAACGACTGGTGGCAAGGTATGTGGCATTTGGGAGGTGAAGTCGAAACATGACCTGGGTGCAACAGGGAGGTCTGCGTTTTGCCATTTAGGCCACCAATTCCATTGTCTTACACCGAGTTGACAAGAGCAAGCTAGCGCTGTGACCCCATGTGAGTAGTGACGCCGCGTGAGCTGCCATGTGGTTGGCGACGCCCCTTAGCTGTTTTCAAGTGAGAGGATGTGCGGGGCTCCTGCTGCTGGCTGGAGTCGTTTAATGCAACTGCTGTGGTACAGGCTCTGTTGCTCAACTACTGGTGTTTCCTCCAAGGGAGTCGGCTGCTATGTCTGTGTCTTGGCAGTTTCTCCATGGCAGCTGATGGAATCAGCCCCTCAATTTTTAGATGAGTCCGGTTAAATTGTGTTGATTATAACGCTTGTCCATCTTTCTCCGCTGTCACCTCACTCGCCCTTCTCTCTGTCCCTGCACTTCCATTCCTGAATCCTTCTCTTCCCCTGCCGTTTTCACCACTTTACCTTTTTCTGCACGTGCTTACCCCTTCCTCCCTCACCCACTCTTCGTCTGGACAGGCCTGAAGCACTCAATGCCTGTGATGGTGGGGCTTTAGTTGTTTGTTGCATCTTCCTTGAGGGGTGCCTATGAATTACTTTTAGACATGAGCAAATCACAAGTCACTCTTCTCTTAATCCTGTCATGATCCCCACTCCTCTAACAGCCTTCACCCCCCACTCCTCTTATCTCCCACTCCTCTTACACCCCTCACTTCACTCAAACCCCCCACTCCTTTCATACCCCCCACTCGTCTCATACACACCACTTTTGACATAACCCATCACTCTTCTCATACCCGTCACTACTCTTATACCCCACACTCCCCTCTTTCCCCCCACTCTTCTCATACCCCCCACTCCTGTCTCAAATCCCACTCTTATCATAACCTCCACTCCCCTCATACCCCCCACTCCTCTCATACCATATGAGATTGCCTATGCCAGTAATAATCATTCATTCCGCCTCCTGCTTTCTGCCCTTGCGACTTCGCCCCAACTTGCTTTCACTCCCACTCAGGCCTCGGTCATCCTTTGACAGGCCAGCTTGTGCTCTGCTCCCTAGTACTTGTGCAATCGCAATGTTCACGTAGCTTCGTGTCGAAGTTGCAAGCCGTCTGTTAGATGCATGCATGGTGTACATACTTTGAGTCTTCTGGTGCAAGTTGTTACATACTTTGATAAAGGGGGATGCTTCTAGATGTCTCAAAAAACAATCAATCACCATGCGGTCCGCTGGCACACACCTGGCGGGGGGGGGGAGAGGGACATGGAGGGGAGAGAAAATGCAAGGGTGTTTTCACGTCGCAATACAAGCTTCCATATGGTGTGCTGCCAGGCGGTGTGCTGCCAGGGTTTAGGGTTTACGGTGGGCAGCACACCGAAGGGATGGGCGGCACGGAGGGGATGGGTGGGGATGGTAGAGAAGGAAAAGTGTGGGCTGGTACAGCTGGTGCTTGTGGGGACGTTTTGTGACGTTTCAACACCGGCTTGAAAAGAACCATTTGGTGAGAGGGGTCGAAACTGGAGAGAACACGACAGTTAGCAATCTCCATCGACACTCATTTGTCCTCGCTGCGAAAACCTCACACTTTCATCACCAACCAAAACCCCCATTCCCTCCCCCCACTTTCTCCCCGTCGCCCGTCGCGTCGCGCCCTCCCCCGCTGCCCGTCGCGTCGCGCCCTCCCCCGCTGCTCCCGACCGCGTGTCGCTACGCCCGCTCGCCCGCCGTGCCCACGCCCAGCGCCTGCCTTTGCGCCGCGCGCCGCGCAGGCCGCCGCACCTACAGCTGTGCCCGCACGCCCCGCTGGCCGCCGCGCCTGCTCGCTTTGCCCGCCACCGCGCCTGCGTGTTAGGCCCTCACTTCCGCCGCCGCGCCTGCCCGGTTCGCCCGCTGCCGCGCCTGCTCGTCGGCCCCCTCGCGGACCCTCCCTTGGCGCCGCCGCGCCTGCCCGTTCTGCCCGCCGCCGCGCCTGCTTGTTAGGCCCGCCGCGGGCCCTCCCTTGGCGCCGCCGCGCCTGCCCGTTCCACCCGACGCTGCACCTGCTCGTTAGCCCCGCTGCGGGCCCTCCCCGCTGCTTATTCCGCCCGCCGGCGCGCCTGCGTCTTGCGCCCACCAAGGACCTGCCCTCGCCGTTCACCGTCCCTACCAGTGCCGCCCGCCGCTCCTGTTGCTGCGCCCTGCCTTCCTTGTCGCTTCTGCTTTCGCTATGGCGACCCCTCGGGTCCTTCGCTTTGACGCTGACGGTAGACCGCTCGAGTTTCCTGTCTGGCTCCTACGCGCGCGTCGCCTTTTAGAGAGTCAGGTTCAGGCGGGCGAGTCCCTCTGGGCGCACGCTACAGGTGACCTTCCTGCGCCCGCCGACCCTACGCCTTTAGACGCTGCCCCTGACGACGCAGCCAGAGACTGCTTTGCCCGCCAGCGTGCTGACGTGACGGCGTGGAAGTCGCGTGACCTGCATCGCCCTTAGCAGCCTCCTCCCTGAGTCTGAGGAGGCCCACTTCACCCAGGTTCGCACTGCTAGCGAGTTCCTGACTGCGATTAAGGCCCACTACGCTACTCCCACCAGTGTCTCTCTTGGTCGACTCTTCCTACCGTTCTTGTTCCCTGATCTCGCCTCGTTTGAGCGCTCTGCTGACTTGATTGCTCACCTCCGCTCGCTCGATTCTAGCTACCGCGCTGCTTGCACTGAGGCACAACTTGCACTGCTTCTGTGAGAGTACGACGGCTTATGCTGGCTTTGCTAGCTTGCCTGAACTTTATTATGCTATTTCTAGCATAGGATAATTATATGCATGCATGAATTGCTTAATTTCCTAGGCTAGGTGCTTTCCTATATTTTATTATAGTTATAGCACCGAGCTAGGTTGCGTGCACCGAATTCTGGCTTTTCGGTTGCCACCGAATTGCCTTCTACCGAATTCGGGAAGGATCTGTTCGGGACGCTTCGCGACCCGCGGAACCTTCGCGTAACACCTGGTTACGGGGCCTTGTGTCGAGCCTATGTATAGCCTCATGTTGTACCCAGGTGATCATTCAATTCAAACTCTCTTTTCTGAGCTCGATCCTAGATCCTCACACTTGGTAATCAGAGCCCGTTTACACGCGAAGTTCTTTCGACCGCTAAAACCAGTCTTCAAAAAACCGCGGGGGCGACGCAGTCAAACATCGATTTCGGGTACGTAAAACCGGTTCCGTGTTTTTCGCTCCCCCTCGATTCGGTTTTTCGGACGCGTTGATGTCAGGCATGGAGGGCCAAGGCGACAACTACGCGACTACGAGCGACATCGCGAGCCTCCGCACCGACATGGAGCAGACGCAGGCGACGCTTCGACGACTCGAGGCTTTTCTGACAAGCCAACCAGGGTTCGCCACCGCAGCAGCAGCGACTGCAGCACCGACAACTCCAGCAGCAGTGGCGACACCAACATTTCACGGACCAATGGCACCACTGTCGCCGCACCTCGAAGCAGCACGACCGAGGCTCCCGGAGGCGTTCGATCCAAGCGCGAAGGGATCCGACGTCCGGCGATTCGTGGCCACCCTCGAAATTTACTTCGAGGCCATTGGCTGTTCGACCCCGCAACACGACGCAGCAAGGATTCGGCTCGCAGCGACACTGTTACGTGGACCGGCTCTCGAATGGATCTACTACACTGACGTAGCCCGCGGGGAGAAAACGTGGCAGCAGTTTCGGGCAGATTTAATCGAGCGTTTCGAACCAATTAATACGACCTACATGGCGCGGCAGCAGATACACCGACACAAACAATACAGCAGTGTAGCACAGTACACGCAGCAGATGGAGTTACTGTTCAACCGCATCACCGACCTGACCGAAGGCGAAAAAATCCAGGCGTACACCGAAGGGTTAAAAATGGAGATTCGGCGGCAGGTGATTGCGGCGAATTACAACAGCTACAGGGACATCGTGCGTGCTGCCGAGCGATACGACGCGCTGACTCGAGGTCAACCCGAAACACGACGCTACACGCCGAACCGTACATTCGGCACGGAGCGATCGGCACCCCCCACGTTCGCCGAACCGATGGATATCGATAAATACGACGCGAAGCAGCAGCCGACAAAATGCGAATTTTGCGGCGCAGCAGGGCATCCGTTTTTGTCGTGCTACAAAATGAAGAAAGCACGTGGGGCACTCCGGGACGGAAACAATGGAGCACCCCCGAAGTCAAAAAACGGAAATCGCCAGTAACCGCGGATCGACCTGGCGATCGCGTAAAGATCCGAAAAGCAGAAAAAGGCGACGACGTGGCGACTTCGGAGCGGGTGAAAAAAGGAGAAAATGATGGCGCGAATCTAAAACGTCACGACCGGCCGGCATCAGGGGAAATCGCCGAGGCGAATGGAGACTCCGCGAAAAAAGACTCTACACCGACCGGGAAACTCCAGCCGAACACCCACGAAAGTAAGAATTCGTTAAAAGTATCCTATAAAGATACTCTAACGAAGAATATTGCTTCTCGTGGTATTCAAGCCTTTGAAAAATTCAGGGGAGGTTTAGAGGCCAAGAAAAAGCCTTTAGAAATTATTCAGGTACCTGAGAAGTTGGGCAAAGTACTACGGAGCGTAGAAAAGGGTCGTGCGTTCCGTGGAGTTAATATTCTCTCCCCGCAGCACAGTGTTAAGGCTCCCCGTTGCCCACAGGTGAAGCCTACACAGCTGCCAAGGCTTAGAGGAGATATCCAGGCTCAGGAGAAATTACACAAGCCTCGGAAAAATCCTCCTACCCCCCAGGTGAAGTTGGAAAGTGCTGAGTCAGGTATAGGAAATAGGGAAGGTATTAAGTTCGATGTACCCTATGATCCTATTAATGAGACCCTCTTTGGCTACTCAGCACAGCAGAAACCACTACTCCTCGAGGTGTTATGCAATGGGCGATGCCTCCAGGCACTGGTGGACAGCGGTGCATCTCACTCGGTGTGTGACCGCGGAGCATTGGAGAAAATTGGAGAGAAGGCAGAAGAGACCCAGTTTTCAGCAACCATGGTGGACGGTACAAAGCTTCCTATCCACGGCGAGGCAACACTGCAGCTGCATATAGGTGCGTTGAGGTGGAAGCCGAAGCTACCAGTCACCAACATCAAAGGGTTAGATTTTATTTTGGGGCGAGATTTTCTGAAGCGGTTCAACCCCGAGATCGATTGGGTCAACAGCAAGGTGTGCATCTACAACAACGGGAAGCAGATAGCACTACGAAGCTGGACGGATATAGGGGACGTTCCTGAAACGACACTGGCAAGGTTCGAACAAACAATAAACGAGAGTAACACGGGTTACCTAGCACTGGTCATGACAACAGCAGAGGAGGAGAAGCCGAGTTCCGAGCTCCCTGCAGCAGTAAAGGAGGTCTTGGAGCAGTACAAGGATATAATGCCCGACGACCTACCTGCAGGCGTACCTTCAGCACGCACCCACGAGCATGAGATCGTGGAGGAACCAGGTGCGAAACCCGTCTCACGTACACCATACCAACTGAGTCCGACCGAACTGACAGACATGAAGAAACAGATAGAGTATCTACTGGACAGACAACTGATCCGCCCATCCACCTCTCCCTACGGTGCACCAGTTCTCTTCACTCCAAAACCAGACGGCAGTTTACGGATGTGCATCGACTACCGCGCACTGAACAAACAGACAGTTAAAAACAAATACCCCATACCGCGCATCGACGACTTACTGGACCAACTGCGTGGGGCAACAGTCTTTTCGAAGCTGGACCTACGGTCGGGTTACTGGCAGATCAAGATGGCGGACAACTCGATCCACAAGACGGCATTCCGTACCAGATACGGCTCCTACGAATACTTGGTGATGCCGTTCGGACTCTGCAATGCACCAGCAACGTTTCAGGCGGAGATGAATCATATCCTTCGACCCCTGCTGGACGAGTGCGTGGTGGTGTATCTGGACGACATTCTCATCTACTCCAAGAACATGAAGGAACACGTGGAGCATCTGCGGAAGGTCTTTGAGATCCTGCGGAAAAACAAATTCTACGTGAAGCTGTCGAAGAGCGACTTCGCCCTGAAAAAGGTGCAATTTCTCGGGCACATGGTGAGTGCCGAGGGCGTACACGTGGACCCGCGGAAAATCGAAGCCGTCAAGAAGTGGAAGGTACCGGAGAACATGAAAGAGTTGCAGCAGTTCCTCGGCTTCGCCAACTACTACAACAGGTTCGTGCCGCAGTACGCTAAGATAGCAGCGCCACTGACCGACCTACTGAAAAAGGATACGCCCTACAAATGGGATACTCCTCATCAGCAAGCCATGGAGCAGCTACAGACAGCACTGACTACAGCGCCAGTACTCATCCTACCGGACCCAGACAAGGGCTACGTGGTGGAAGCAGACGCTAGTGACCAAGCAGTCGGAGCAGTACTGATGCAAGATCACGGACGCGGTTTGCAGCCCATCGCCTACCTCAGTAAGAAGCTACACGGAGCAGAACTGAACTACCCCATTCACGACAAGGAAGCCTTAGCTATAGTCGTAGCCTTCAAGGGGTGGAGGTGTTACCTAGAGGGAGCCAAGACTACAGTCTATACTGACCACTGCAGTCTCAAATACCTGAAGTCGCAGCCAACGCTCTCACGACGACAGGTGCGATGGATGGACTTCCTAGAAACTCACTTCCACTACGACATCATCTACAAGCCCGGGCTACACAACAAGGCAGACATTTTGAGCCGCCCCGGTCATGTAGCAGGCATCCAGCTCGACGGGATGAACCCTCTACTCAAGGGTCTATTCCAACATGGGTACTCCGTGGACGCAGAGAACGCTACAGCACAGACTAAGAAGCTGTTACAGTGGGAGAAAGACTTAGCTGTAAGGAAGGGTTCAGGAAAGATTTGGGTACCGAACTACGCCCCGCTACGGCAGATCCTATTGGAGGAGTTTCACGACGTACCTTACGCGGGACATTTTGGGAGCAACAAAACGTTAGCAGGGATAGC